ATATATAAGTGAATACATTTCTAGTTCAAGATTATCCTTTAAATATGTCATCACCTAACTATACCATCTTCCAATCAATATGTCTCCATCTTGCCTAGAAGTATACAAGAGACTTTGCCAGATATTTAGCTAATGTCTTGCTAAGTGTCGTTGAGTCAGTTCTGAATCATAGCAACCCTGTAACAGGGTTTCCAAGGATAGGTTGGTGAGCTTGAACTGCCAACCTTGCGGTTCAAACCATATCATAGTTGATTCAAACCAACTGTGCAGTCTAGCACCTTAACCCACATATTTACAATGTCTATTTGACCTGCGTTTCTATTATCTATGCCCACAGTATATGATAAGCGACTTTACCATGTAATTTGCTAGTAATCTGGCTGTACTGTATTTACAGTGTCTACTTGACCTGTGTTTCTATTATCTATCATAAAAGTACACTCGCATTGGTGAGGCAGACACAAAGCTGCTTCCAGGAAATCAGAGCGGAGGCATGGCTCCAGAAGGCAGCCCAAAGCTGGGAAGAAGCTGTTGCTCTGTTCTGAGAAGAAATTCATTGAAAGGCTCTCATGATTAAATAGTCATAAAGTGTGCCGCAGGTCAATGTGCTGGACTGCAAGGCAGGTTTGAACTGCGAGGTCAGCGGTTCAAGTTCACCAGCCACTCCTTGAAAACCCTATACAGGGTCACTATGAGTCGGAACCAACTCAACTGCACTTAACAACAACAAAGAATAAGCTGAAGAAGAAAGAGGCAAAGCAAAACAGACATTTAAGTAATGACAAGACACAGGACATCTTTTGAATATAATACATTTTAAGTTATTGATTGATAGATTGGTCTGAAAGCAAGCAAAGTAGGGCCTATAATTATGCTTAGATTCTTTCTACATCTATAAGCACCTGTAAACCATTTTCTTGGGTTCCTCAGTCAAATAGATCTACACTAGTATATATGAGAGGTGAGCAAAGATGGAGACAAGTAACAATATAAGCGAATACAATTTCAATCACTATTAATTCAAGATTATCCTTTAAATATGTCATCACCTAACTAAACCATCTTCCAATCAATATGTCTCCATCTTGCCCACAAGTATACAAAAGACTTTGCCAGATTAGCTAATGTCCTGCTAAGTGCCATTGAGGTACTTAGTAATAGATTAGTCTTGTGGGCCATGACGCACCTACTGTATTTTTATGCAAAAAACACTTCCTATAGGTGAAAATGGAGTTCTGGTGTGGCGCTATGGGTTAATGCACCAGACTGCAGAGCCGTTTGAACTGCAAGATCACCAGCTATGAACTGCAAGGTCACCAGCTACTCCTTGGAAACCCTAAACAGGGTTGCTATGGGTCGAAATCGACTCGACAGCACTTAACAAATATGGCACTCGACAGCACTTAACAAATATGGCACTCTTATCTGCTGTCTTATTGTGAAATCAATACATGTGGATACGTTCCAATAAAACTCATTTTACAAAAATGGGGTTGCTAGATTTGATCTGTGAACTCTAGTTTGCCAAATGCTGGTGTGAAAAAAGAAGAGGTAAATGTCTAGTGTACATTGCTACTGAGGTAAATGTCTAGTGTACATTGCTACTAAACAATCTTTTGAACGTGTCCCAGAGTGTCACATGGTGAACAGAAATATTGTGCAGATCAGTGAAATTTTACATTTTGATTTTTATAATAGTATTATAGGAACTACAACTTTATATTCAGTGAACTTGGTATCTATATACATCATCACAACCTAAGAATTAGTTACCTGTGTATAGTCACCAAAAGGCTGAGAATAAACAATGCACGTTTCCAATGCACGTTGTGGTTCACTTCCCTGAGAGATTGCATCCAGAATGTTGCTTGCAATTCCTGTCTTCTGCAGAGTGGTTTTACTTGCAGAGGCTAAAGATAAAACAAATGTTTATTTAGGCTGTTTCAATAAAAATTAGGAATCCAGGTGTGGTGCTATATAGGATAAATACTTTATTGCTAACCACAAGGTCATACAGGGTTGCTGTGAGTCAGAACTGACTCAATGGCACTTTTAGAACACAAATTCTAGTTTGCCAATATATACTATCTATATTTGTTGTTATTAAGTGCCATCAAGTCGATTCCGATCCATAGCGACCCTGTATAGGACTTCCAAGGAGAAGCTGGTGAGCTTGAACCACTGACCTTGCAGTTCAAACGACTTTGCAGTCTGATGCATTAGCCCACAGCACCACACCAGGACTCCTAGGAACACAAATTCTAGTTTGCCAATATATAGTATCTATATTTATTATCCTCGGGTTAAAATAGCCTAGTTGTTATTACTTCACTCATTTGAAACAAATGAAATGGAAAATTGCCCTATGATGGTGGTGGTATGCTGTTGAGTCTCTTACGATTCACAGAGACCCTGGATGGGACTCCTGAGACTGAAAATCTTTCAGGGAGCAGAAAGTCTCATCTTTTAAGCCTCATCTTTTTCGAATTACTGATCTTGTGGTTAGCCATCCAACAGATAACCTACTACACACCACTAGAGTGCCTTTAAACAAGGCATACAAAATGTAAATTAACCATTCTTGTTGATGCAATACTGTCAATTCTTAGATTATATACAGCAAGTATGACTGACGTTAGAAACATTGTTTTAGACGTTTGCTTGCCTTTTATGAAAATTACAAATTAATGTTTAGGTGTAAGAGGATATTTACTTAAAGAGAATGAAATGAAATTCACACTTCATTTTCAATCAATTCTATTCTTCTTCACAGTTTGGAGTTCATTTTTCCAGATTTATTTTATGAATTTACACACTTGTATTTGAACATGGTCTGACACTGGAAGATCAGCAATTTAAGCCCACCAGCTGCTCTTCAGAAGCCCCCTATACAGGGTTGTATGAGTTGGAACCAACTCATTGGCACTTAACAACAATATGAACATGTAAAGATTTAGAGCTTTAAAGGATGCATACTTTGAATGGAAAAACACTTAGCAATCTGCTTTGGAGATCACATGTATGAATGAATGTAGATGCCCATCAATTTCCCTGTTGCATAGGATTGCAGGTGATGATGCCCTATTGATTTATTACCTATTTACCCATTTGCTCACTGATGAACATTATTAAGGCACTCTCCAGTTTCTCTTTATGGCAACCAGTGCTGCAGTGACTATCCCTGTGCCTTGAGCATACTACATGGGTGAGCGTCTCTAGAGAGTATATTTCAATTAAAGTTAATATACGCTGATTGAAGGTCTCAGGGGGTCTCTTCCCAAAATTAAAGAAAAATTCCACTTTTAGTAAAGCTCACGAATAGTTCTTTTTTTTTTCCTGGAATATTTTTGCTTTTTCTCTGGGATTTGTCTACTAAGTCTCTAAGAAATAAATACTCTGCATCTATTAGATTACTTAGAGGTTTAACCTCTGGTTTGGAAATACAAGTCTGTATGAATTATATATGAATTGTGGAGCGCTATGGCTCCTGGTGTGGCTCTGTGGGTTAATGCACTGGACTGCAAAGTCTATTTGAACCTCAAGGTTGGTGGTTCAAGCTCACCAGCTACTCCTCAGAAACTCTATACAGGGGTGCAATGGGTTGGAACCAACTCGAAGGCACTTAATAACATGGCTCTGTAGGATAAGTGGTGGTTCAAGCCCAGCAGCTGTTCCTTGAGAGAAAGATGAGGTTTTCTGCTATCATAAAGATTTATAGCATCAGACGCTCTCTATAGGGTTGCTATAAGCCAGAACCAACTTGACAGCACTTAGAAAAAACAACATATGAATTGCCAAACACTTACTTTGCCCCAACAACTTTTAATCCTGTCTATAATAATTCAATAAATTGATTATATTCTTAATGAAATATGTTTTCATCCAATAAAATAGTCTGTATTTTAAGTATTCCATTGATTTAGAAAATGCAGGCCATAATTTTCTAGCTAAATTTGATCAATCGGCATCATTTGCTTCCATTAATTTGGAGGTAAAGTGAAACTCCCAAATATGAATGCAGAACCCTTACTTACACGACAAGCACACACTGGGCAGTACACTCGCCAGGTTCAAGTATGGATTTTTACTGAGCCGAATTTCTTTTGGCGGTTCTCCTAAGAGTGAAGTCTGATTTTTAGAGGGAGCCTGTTTATCAAAAACAAAAAAGAGTGCATAAAGAGAGTGCATAATAAGAGGTACAAGAAAATAAAAGTGTTATTCTTCAATAAATCCAGTCTTGTGTGAGGAAAATTTGCATAATATAAATTAATGACATATTTCTGGATGTTGACTTAACTTACGAATATATTTTTTAAACTATTTTTCTAAAACCTGTTGCTGTCTAGTCAATTCCAACTTATACTGAGCCTAAAGGACAGAGTAGAACTGTCCCATGGAGTTCCCAAAGCTGTAAGTCTTTACGGAAGCAAACTGCCACATCTTTCTCCCCCAGAGGAGCTGGTAAGTTTGAACCTGTAGCATTTCAGTTGGCCACTGAGCATTCCTTCTTGACTTAACTGCAGTACCCCCAGCATTCCTTCTTTCAGAACCACAGAACTTTGTAATTAAAAGCCATATTGCCCAGTTTTGTCACTTGAACCAGGAGGGAATTAATCTTCTCAGCAAAGACCAAATCCTTAACTCTTTTCCAGGAGTAATGAATGTATCAATATTTCTTACTCAGATTTTATTTTTGACTGTATAGCTACAACGAGATGACAAAAGCAAAAGCTTATTTATCTCTGCTACTAGAAATGATACCTAATGAAATACATGGACTTCATATACTCCAACTCCTGGGCGGTACAAACAGCTAATGTATTCAGCTGCTTACCAAAAGGTCGTTAGTTCAAGACAACTCAGAGGTTCCTCAGAAAAAAGGTCTGGCAATCTACTTAAAAAAAATCAGCCACTGAAAATCCTATGGTGCTCAGTTCTACACTTACACACATGGGCTGCCATGCACTGGGGTCAACTTCAAAAGTAGCTGCTCTTTTGGAAATTCCATTTCTTTAAAATAAATGACATCACTATATTTTTATGAGGAGTTCTAGTGTGGTGCTGTAAGATAAGCACTGGACTGCTAACCACAAGGTTGGTGGCTCAAGCCTATCAGCCTATTTTCAGGAACCCTGTATAGGATCACTGTGAGTAGGAACCAACTTGACAACACTAACTTAGTGACAACACTAACTTAGTAACAACATACTTATCTATCTACTGAAGAAACACAAAATACCACATGACTACTCTGAATGTTTGGAGTCCTGGTGTGGCACTGTGGGCTAACACGTCAGACTGCAAAGTCATTTGAACTGTAAGGTCAGTGGTTCAAGCTCACCAGCTGCTCCTTTGAAACCCTATACAAGGTCGCTATGGGTTGGAATTGATTCAACGGCATTTAACAACTGTGTTTAGTAAACAGATCGTCATCCATTTTCCATTTCCATGTATTCAGTTCTTGGTTCTTTACAGAACTTATTTTCCAGATTCTGCCCCATTTTGTCTGTCCTCCTCCAGATAGTCTCTTATTTGCCTATTACTGGAACCCCCTCAAATCAAGGTTCTAGTAAGCAATTAAATACAGAGTGTATTCATATATTGTGTTTAGCTTGTTTGTTGTTGTTAATAGCTGCCAAAAAGTCAGCTCTGCCTCATGGCAACTCTATTTGCAGCTGAATGAAATACTGCATGCCCCTCAGTCACCTTCGTGATTCTGTTGACATGCTCGAGTCCACTGTGCATCCGAGTGCCTTCCAACCCAGTAGCTCATCTAGCACTACAGACTGGACAACATTTGATTGGGATCTAGAGCAGGGTTTTTTGGTGTTTTCTTTTTTTCCATTGATCTAGGCTCCTTCTTGAAAACTTGTAAGCCAGTCACTTCTTGCCTTTGTAGTCTCCCCATTTTGAGTAGCCAATGTTCAAGTTGCCCATCCCTGTCTACTCTGTGTATGGAGAGGGTGGGAATGATCCTTGCTGTAAAGATTTGTTCCCTCTTTTGAGCTACTACATCCACAGGTGTAGTCAAGTTCATCAAGTTGTATCTTTTTTCCTCTTCTTCTTCTAGTTGAGCTCTGATCATCCATCCAGTCATTGAAGCCATGTCAAGTGGGTATTATCTGCAAGTGTGGGTGTTCTTATGCATATGCCTTCTCTTATCAGCTGGATGCTTCACTCTCCACTCTGGTCCTCTGTAGCTATGTCACTGACTCTGGGCCCAAGAGTCCCCAGGTCTTGCCACACTGCTGGCCAACCAGGTCTCCAGGTTGAACATTGTAGGGCTTAGCTTGCAGCTTCATTGATGTTTTTCCCTCACTTTCCCTTATCGGTGACAAATATGGTCACCAATCAGAGCGCATGTCTGCTCATGTATTCTCATTGAGTCTTAGTCTTAGAAGTGGGTTTGCCTGAGGGGACCCGACCACTTGCCTTGATGTCTCCTGGGCAAGCAACTTGCTTTTTTTTGTAGTAATTTTAGTCGGACTGCCATTGTTTTGTATTTTTCCTGTCAGTCTTTCTTTCAAGTATCTTCTGTTCTTCACAGATCTATACGGTTTTCATTAGCTATTTTTCTTCATTAGATGACCAGACTTTTCTTCCTAGTTTGTCCTCACTTGAAAGTTCTACTGAAACCTGCTGATTGATATTTGAAATACTGGTAGTACAGCTTCATGGAGCCCTAGTGTGGCACTGTAGAATAAGTGCTGGGTTGCAAACCACAAGGTCGGTGGTTCCAATCCACCAGTCGCTCTTGGAAACCCTATATAGGGTAGCTATGAGTTGGAACTGACTTGACACCATTTAATAACTATAACAACACAGCTTCATGGTTGTGGTGGCGGTTCTGTGCTGTGGAGTCCGTTCCGATGTTCCGACCCTTAGCAACCCTGATAGGGTTTCTGAGGCTGTAAATCTTTATGGGAACAGAACACGTCATCTTTCTCCCGCAGATCAGCTGGTAGTTTCAAGCTGCTGACCTTGAGGTTAGCAGCCTGATTCGTAACCACTCCATTACCAGAGCTCCTTAGTTTCATAGCAGTCTGTAAGTCACCCCAGTAGGACTTGTAGATGGTGGTTGGTGGTTTACTCATTTACTAAGCAACTGATAGGCATGATACATTTTTTTTATATTCACTCTCTAACTGCTTTCTCAATGGATGATTGTCGAGCATATCCAAACCTCCATCTATGGCTGATGGGTTTGAACTGCCAACCTTGTGGTCAGCAGCCCAGTGCTTATCCTACAGAGTCACAACAGACTATGCCTACCTAACACCAAAATCTTAAGAATTCAATAGTATTTTGGCATTTGAATAGTACAGCTACTTAAATTTCTTCTCCACATGCTGCTCATACCTAAGTTTATACCTTTTACAACCCAAAGGATGTTTTAGGGAACAACAAACATTAAAAATATTTTATTCTATCTACTAATGATAAAATATAAACTAAGTGAAGTACTCATTAAAAACATCTAGAATTAACAGGGATCGATATTTTTAAAATAGACCAGCTTAATAAACTACGTTGATGTTTTTCAGGTAAAACAAAATTGTTTTTGTCTTTAAATATTAAAATACTATATTAATTAGGTACAGAATGTACATTAAAATAGAGTAAAATGAATGCATTATAAAGAACGGCTTTACTTACTTATGAGAAAGCTTTATAAATATCACTCTATAACTGGGTAAGTATTAATGATACTCCTAATCTTTTCCAACTACTACAATTTTCAAGTTAAACTATTTTATGACTAAACCAACTTTAAAATACTTTTGAAATATTTTCGAAAATCATGCACATCTTAAAGCTTTACAGAGAAGCAAATATATATAGTAAAGAAACCACATTCAAATTAGTTTACTTGTAACAGACTAAGTAACAGACTTAAAACCATCATTTTAGGCAATTATGTTATATATAGGTAAACTGACAAGTTACTAAGCAGAGTACTAAAATTCAGCTGGCATAATTTATCAATGGAATCCTGGTGTGGTGCTGTGGGATAAGCACTTGACCTCAAGGCCAATTTGAACCACAAGGTCGGTGGTTCAAATCTACCAGTTGCTCCTTGGAAACCCAGTAGAGAGGGTCACTATGACCTGAAGCAGACGCAAAAGCACTAATAACAAGGTAAGTTATACAAGGATCAATTTCCTTTTTAACTTGTTTATAATAATACAGGGCTGTTTCTTTTTTTCCTTTTTTTTTTTTAAAGGAATGCAACCTTCTACTTTGAGAAGTAAATATAAACTATAAAAAGTCATCACTTATTTGGCATAGCAGTTCTCTAGTTTGTAATCATATTTATAAAACTTAAGTAGGTTATAAGAGCTTTTGAAATATAAAAATATCTAAGAAACACACTGTTTTCTAACCCCTGAACTTACTTCAGTGCCTTTTGGTTGAGTTTGCTGCTGCTTATGATGTCCTGTCAGCAAGTTTCCAGTTGTAAGATTTGGAAAGCTCTGAAGATAAGCTTGCGACCCTGAGAAAGTTCCTTCTGCCATTCCCACTGTGACTGGCGGTTTCTCCTGAGTATTACTGTGCCCTGGTCCAGCTTGTCCAACAAGGAGCTGATTCGGAAAGAATGGTAATATGCCCATTCCAGCTGTTTGACCTGGAATCACATTAGATGCTTCAGTGAACCACACAAATGGAAAACGGTTTGACTTATTCACAATAGTTCTCTTGATTTTGTTAAGCTATGATTAAATACCATAAAACCTACTTTGTATCTATTAGAGAACAGTTATAGTCAAAAGGTAAGCTTAAATCATTGTAAATTAGGAGGTTCCTTTGTGCAAACACAGAGCTTCTAGAAGTACACTGTGGCTTCAAAGCCTGGAATTAAAAGATAATGGAATTTTCCCACAAACTCTCGGAACTCCCCTTGTAATGATGCTTTTCTTATTTTCAATTACTTCCAGGGTAATCTAATAATATATATTTTAATTTTGCAAGCTTAAATTGTATATTTTAGAAGTTGAGATCAAAGTTTGTCTATTTCTGGCATTCAAATTCCAATTACATTTGTTTTTATTTTGTATATCCAATGCAATACACACTTGACCATAATATCAGCTTGAACTGCAAGGTCAGCGGTTCAAACTCACTCCTCAGAAACCAGCCACTCCTCAGAAACCCTATACAGGATCACTATGAGTTGGAACTGACTCAACAGTAATTAACAACAACAACAACAACAATTACTGTAATATGCCTACTTCATGGGTATAACAAAACAACTGTAGATTTGGTTGGGAAGCTCTTGAGAGCCATTTGTGCATATCTCCTTCTATCTCTTCAGTTCAGTATAATCCTATTGATAGCTTGAAATCATCTAAGGTTAGAATATTTATATACTCAGACATACATAAATGCTGCAAAACAAAAACTTTTTTTAAAAAAAAACAAAGTAAACCTAGAGAATCAGTTTTAAACAACAGCAAACCACTAGTTTGGTACCTTGAATTTACTTGAGATGGCTTTTCTATTCAATATCTTCTTAAATACCACCAAGTGACTGGGTGGGACTATGCAAATAAGGTGTACAGGATTCTAAGTTGGGGATTGGTTAGTTTTGCCCTTCAACTAGGTTTTACATCTCAGAAACAGAAGAGCCTAGGACCATGAATAAGGAAGAGCATGAGTAGAGTGTGAGATCCCTACCTAGAAAAATGGCGACAACAGAGGTGATGCAGAGGTGACGGCAGAGTCGGTGGCATGGAGAGACTGAGCAGCTGTAGGCCCATGGACTAAGTAAAGCTAAGTGCCTACGGACAGGGGAATGTGCCCTTTGGCCACTCACAGACTGGCTAAAAGAACTTTGTAACATTTGCTTTAACAGGGCAGGGACCAAGGGGCCACATGGCTGAGAGGGTGAAGACAAGAGTGAGGCATGCCTGTAGTATGGCAGACAAGAGGTGTCCCTGACTGGAGAATTCCTGCATCCTGAGTTGGTTTTGGTCTTGAATTGTACCCTGTTCACTTCCTTAATAAACCCCATAATCGTGAGTATTGTTATAAATTCTGTTTGGCCATTGCAATGAATTATTGAAGCCAAGAGTGCTGTGGGAAGAATGGTTGATGTCAGAACAGAGCAAAGAAGGTTGTAGGGTGGAAGCATGTTTGACCTCAGCTTCATAGGAATTGGCCTTGGGCTGCTTTTGAGTTTGATTCTCTTTTCTCCCATTGTGAAGCCAAGGGTAGTCAGACATGGTTCCCACCTGGTTTTTCAAACTCATTAAACAATATTTCTGAATAGATAAGCAACACATTTAGAAGATGAATGATTATTTTAAAGCTGGGTACACTAAGAAATTCTGGAAGAAATTTTCTAATTGGAAAATTCTGAATCATTCCGCTTTTTAAAATCTATTGTTGTTAAGTGCCATTGAGTCAGAACCAACCCATAGTGACCCTGTATAGGGTTTCCAAAGAGCAGCTGGTGAGTTTGAACTCCCAAACTTGCAGTTCAAATGGCTTTGCAGTCTGGTGCATTAATCCACAGCTCCATACCAGGACTCCTTTAAAACCTATAGGCTAGAGTTAAATGAAAAGAGCTAGTTTTGAAAACTACTTAACAAATATTTAAAATTATTTTTAATCCAAACATTTAAAGATAATTACTTCAGTTCTCCTCTCTTTTAGTAATATATTTCATTATAATGCCATTTTATAAATTGTGCTATTAAGTGACTTTGAGTCAATTTAAGTGACCCTACGTATGGGGTGTCCAAGGAATGACTGGTAGGTTTGAATCACTGACCTTTCAGTTAGCAGCCGAGTGTTTATCTTTCAGAGGATGAATTTAAAGGATTAAGATTGGATAGTTATTCTAAACTATCAGTTAGAATAATAAAAAATCTTATTGTTATAGTACCCTGCCTCATAGCAATTCAGGGCAGTATAACAGGGAAAAAAAAGGATAAATGCATTTACAATATATTATGTGAAAATATCTCCAAAATAACTAAGTAAATTTATAACTAAAAATCTCTGATATAATGTTTAAATTGAAAATCAAGTTAAAGTCTAACAATGAAGATATCTGATTAAATTTGGTTCCACACCAAAGTGCCAGAAGTGTTAAGTGCTATTGAGTCAATTCTGACTCATTAGCAACCCTGTCTAACAGAGTTTCCAAGGGATGGGTGAAGAGCTTGGACTGCCGACCTTGCAGTCTAGCACATTAACTGGCAGCGTCACATCAGGACTCCTAAAGTGTTAGTAAAAAGAGAAAAAAATTGTGTAAGTGGCTCAAGTCGGTTCTGACTCATAGTGAGCTTGTATAGGGTTTCTGAGGAGCAGCTGGTGGGTTTGAACTGCTACCCTTGTGATTAGCAGTCCAGAGAAAGCATGTAACCTTAATTGAGAAAAGCAACTACTCCTCATTGTTGACTACCTCCTTTCTGACATTTTTTCGTTTACGACAATTCTGGAAAAATTCTCTGGTAGCATAGTGGTTACGAATTGGGCTGCAAGCTGCAAGGTCAGCAGTTCGAAACTACCAGCTGTTCTGTGGGAGAAAGATGAAGCTTTCTGCTCCCGTAAAGATTTACAGCCTCGGAAATCCTGTACTTGGTCGCTATGAGTCGGAACCGACTCCACGGCACTTAACAACAACAACAACATGTCTTATGGTCCAGACCTAACACAGGACCACAGCTGGACCCGAGTGTCCTCTGCAGGCCACCCCAAATAATAACTGGAGACCCCAGTGATGACTGGGCCCTGAGGGACAGTGGTTGACCAACTGCAGGATGCCTTCTCTGATTCATGTGCATATCAGTCTGGTCATGGAGGACATGGGCTGATGGCAGGATGACACAAGGTCAGGTGAGGGAAGGAATGGGTGGGAGGGGAGCAAAGGGGCCTGTCCGAGGTTGCCAATTTAAAGATAAGATACAGAAACCAAACTAGATTCATTTTAATACTAAGTCTGACAAACACTAAGCCTACAAATAAGAATGATATGTACACTATGCTTCATTCAAAATATTAACACTCCTGATAAATTGCAAGTTAATTTCAGGTAGTTCAAGGCTATATAGTTGGACTCCTGGTGTGGTGCTGTGGGCTAATGCACAAGGTCGATTTGAACTGCAAGGTCCACAGTTCAAGCTCACCAGCTGCTCCTTGGAAACTCTATACAATGTCGCCATGAGTCAGTATTGACTCGATGGCACTTAACTTGATGGCACTTAACAACAACAACAATATAAAGAGTTCTTTCAATAAATTCCTTGATGATACAAATTACTCATCACTTAATTATATGTAAATGATCACAGTGTTCTTAAAGAGGCACATACTAAAGCAAAGGGCTCATTTAATCTGACACAAATAACTATTTACATAGGCTTCTAGTTGCTACAAATGGAATTTTTAGAAAGAAGGATCATCATGCCATAAAACTCTTATTGTATACAGGCTTGTTTACATAATGGTTTAACTACTGTCCATTTTTTGATTCTAACAGAATTGACTGAGGCTTGCTATATGTTAGTTTCACGTATAAGAAGCTACATTGTTGTTGTTGTTAGGTGCCATCGAGTCAGTACTGACCCATAGAGACCTTATGCACAGCAGAATGAAACACTGCCCAATCCTGGGCTAACCTCACCACTCTTGCCACAGAAGCTACCTACATAAGATACCGTTATTTAATTATTTTTAAAATTCCTGGTAGGTACTCACTCTGTTTTCTCTCAGTATGTTCACTTCTAAGCAAATTGTAGGTGTGCTTCTAACCAAAAGTGCCTTTCAAAATCACCTTTCAAAATCACATTCAAGTAAGAAATTTTGGTATCCCACCATACTCCTGGAGTGCTGGTAAAGGAGCTCTGGGTAGCGTAGTGGTTACGAATTGGGCTGCTAATCTCAAGGTCAGCAGTTTGAAACTACCAGCGGCTCCGCGGGAGAAAGATGAGGCTTTCTGCTCCCGTAAAAATTTACAGCCTCAAAAACCCCATACAGACAGGGTCGCTATAAGTCGGAACTGACTCCATGGCATATAACAACCACCACCACCATACTCCTGGTGTGGTGCTATGGGTTAATGCGCCAGACTGCAAAGCCGTGTGAACTACAAGGTCGGTGGTTCAAGCTCACCAGTCGCTCCTCGGAAACCCTATATAGGGTCCCTATGGGTCAGAACTGACTCTACGGCACTTAATAACAACCATACTCCTGTTTTTCTAAAAATCCATATATATTATTGTTAAGTGCTGTTAAATTGGTTCTATTTATGTTTAATTCTGTCAAGTTTTTCAGAAGCATGTCATACATATATTGTTTTCTTCTACTAATTTAGAGATCATACACACAAATCAAGCTGAAATTTTACAAATACAAGTTGTTCCTTTTATAAAAGCTGAGGGTTCCCTATGCCGGCAAACACTAAATGGATTATATATGAACTGTCCTGTCAGCCCAGCAGGCAGCATGTCAGTGTCAAAGATCTGTTTCCTCACCTCATACTGCTGTGGGCCTTCATAAAATATTACATAAAATATTAACACACATCCAACAGGGAAACTCTGACCACGGCATCAAAGCAGGTCCATCAATAACTTTGAACTGCAAGGTTGGCGGTTCAAGCTCACTTAGTCGTGCCTTGGAAACCCTATATAGGGTCACTATGGGTCGGAACCAACTCAATGACACTTAACAACAACAACAAATCAGTAAATTATCAACAGTTTCCTAATACTAAAAATAGAAAAAGCCTGTATCTTACCTCAATAAAATAAATAAAGAAGGAAAAGTCAAGAAGCTTTCTGAAGTTTTAAATGACTGAATAAAACTCAAATTTGACCTTTCTGTAAATGAAAGTTCAAACCTCAAATCTGATTGATCAGGAAATACTCATTTACTTTTCTGTGCATCTCCATGGGGTCCCAACTCTGTTTTCAATGGAAGGGCTGACCCTAGTCCTAGTGCAGTTTGAAGTACCATAGCTGGGGGTTCTCCAAGTAAGCCAGGTTTCTGCAAAAGAAGGAAAAACAAAAAAAGATTTCCAACCACATGGCAATAAGATATAACATCATAAAATGGGTATATACTCACAACTAATCTATTCAACAGCCTGATCTTAAGAAGGAATTGAGTTTCAAAATACGACTATACTTACATTATTAGTTTGGATATTTTCAAACTTCATTAATTGCTGTTGTGCCAATGGTACATGAGAAAGATTCTGAAGGAATAAATTAGAAGTATTACCCATGACTGAGCTCTGTAAAAATGATAAAACACTGAGTTAGCTTCATTATGAGAAAATTACTTGTTGAATAACCCAATTCATTTTAAACTTCATTTCTACAGTGATCTGAGCAAAAGCAACAGTTTTGTTTTGTTTTTATTATCCTACTGTCTAACTTCAGGCAATGCTAATTAATCCCTCTAATATATGACTATGTAGTCTGGAGGCTAATTCCATACCCATTCTTTTCTGTCTTCTTTCCTCTTTCTCTCACCCTTTCGGCTTCAGAGACACTATCTTCATTTATTTATTCACCTGATTACTCAACAAATATTTGTTGAGCATTTTCTGTGTGCTACGCATTGAACTGGGCCATTAGAAATACAGCAATATGTTCTGTTTTCATAGATTTTGTAATCTCCTGGTGATGGGAGGCATTCATTAATCAAAAACATAAATAAGTACAAATGGTGATGAAGATTCAAAGGAAGCATATAAGGAACTATGAAAACACATAGTGAGAGGAGTTAGTTTAGATGGGAAAGTTAAGGAAGGTTTTCTTATGGAACTCACTCTTGAACTGAAATGTGAAGGTGCACAAGAAAAAATGAGAAGATTGGGAGAATTACTGGGTGTTGGGGCAGGAAGCATTCTAGGTAGAAGAAACAGCAGGAGCAAAGACCTGTGGAGGTGGGAACAAGGTCCCAATTCGAGGACCAACAAGTACTGAGGAACAGTGATGAGCAATTTGCTTAAGAGGTAGGGAAAGCCAGATTGTACAGGGTCATCAAGGCAAAAGCATTTTAGTTTTCAATCCTAAAACAATAGGAACATACTCAGTACTGTGATCTCCTCTTCTCCTAGTACGCTTCACAACTTACTGTAATTAATTGTTTAATGATTATTTCCTTTACTGGTTGAATTTCTTAAGAATAGGGACTATGAATGTTTTTTCCTTGATGTTCGTTAGCTTTAATATCTAGTAATATCTTAGTATATTTTAAGTTCAAAATAAAATATGTGAACTAAATGAGTGAATAAAAAACCATATAATGCATCACAGGTCCTATGTAAGATATTCAGAATATTTTTTAAATGAATAAAAGATAAACATTTTCCTTACAAAGCTATGTTCAGGATCAGACATTCATTCATGCAACTTAAATTAAAAACTTATTACATTTGAATTTTGATTTGTTCTTAGGATTTCTACAAAGATACAGCCATAAACAGATCCTAAAATGAATGAGTCAAGTCTATCATCAATATAGTGGTTATTTGTATATACAAACATAGTTTTTAAATGCTTATCTGATAAATATAAGAAAAACATTCATTACTCTCCTAAATAGATTATTTTGCATAACATTGACTAAATCTTTAGAATGAAATATTATTGCTTATTTTTTTCTTTCTGTAAATATTTTTTAAAGTTAAGACCACATAAAGAAGCCTTGTTTTCATCTAATAATTTATTTCTAGGAAAACATACACTGTAAATATGCCATAATGTATACATCGTCCTCTATGAATACTCTATAAATAGCAATCAATCTAATGTCTATACATACAATTATGATACCTTAATAATGCAGTTACAATGGTGACATCTCTGATCTAATGTTCTGATCATTTTTTATAGAGCTTTACTTTTTACTAAGGTTTTATTATTTTTCTTAAAGAAATACTCATTTAACTTCCTGAAAACTTTACTGGTAAGAACAAACAAAATATTCACTCCAAAGTTTTGATGCTTCAGTACTAGATGCTATTCATGTACCTGGTGTGCTCTATTCAAATGTAAAAATGCGGGGGAGATGGATGGATTCATCAGATGTGGCAAGCTGTGAGGTGTTCCAAGAACTGCTTTAAGAAAATAAAAGTAAAAATTTAACTTTATGATATATATGGAATTAAAAAAAAAAACAAAAAACCTAAAACAAGCTCCAAAAAGGGTCAATGACTATTTTCACTAAACTTTTAACAAGTTCACGGGAAGGTCAATGACATACTGACTTTATCATTGGTCAAAAACTACAGGCTCCTTTTCTTATAATTCAACCCTGGAATTTGTGTTATTGAAGGAATGCCAATACCTTCAAAGATAATGGTCAAATGCCAAACCAAGGCTTCCTCTTGGCTAGGGCTGAGAGCAACAAACTGAGCCCATCTTTTAACAAGTATTATACTGATCAAACCCATGTGTGTAGGCAATTTTGGTGGAGAATAAAGGAAGAAACAAAATACAATCGATCCTTGAGAAGTTTACAGTCCAGCTGAAAAGATACTCCGTCTTAGATAATATAAAACACAGTAAAAGGAACAACAACATAAAATACAGTTGGGAAGTCAAAGAGTCCAAAAATCAGAGTACATTTTATTAAAAAAAAAAATTTTCAGGACAGAGAATACTACTGTTATAACATAAAAAAGGAAACACCATGAGATAGGAAATTTATCGAGCCATTTTATCTATTTATTATAAAGTCGCTAGAAAGAGCTATGGAGAGTGTGGTGGCTTGAGGCACTGTTTCAGCCCACCAGTTATTCCACAGAAGAAAGATGAAGCTTTCTACTCCCACAAAGATTTACCACCTTACAAACCCTATACAAGTTGGACTCAACTCAATGGCACATAACAACAGCAGGAATGTGCAACAATTAACTAGAATCACAGAAATATAGGACTTAATAAAGTACTTCCAAAAACACATCAGGATATAAAAAAATTGAAATATATTATGTTCCTTACAAGTTCAGCCATGCTTTAAAATTTTGATTTCAAGAAACTTATTATTTGCCTAGGGAGTCTATTATATCTTTGGAAAACTGACTCCTAGAAAGGCTATTTTTTTCAGAATGAATCCAATTTCCATAAGGCTGATGGGGAAGATTACATCATTAGAAAGAGTCCCTTATTAGGGAACCAAAAACCACACCAGTTTCCAATGAGTCAGTTCCAACTCAGGATAGCCCTGTGTGTATCAGAGTAGAACTGAGTTCCTTATGGTTGTCAATAGCTACGACCCTTTGCAAGTAGATAACCAGGCTTTCCTCCAGAGTTCCCTGGGTGAATTCAAATCACCAATTTTCCAGTTAGTAGCAGAGCTCATAATCATTTCTGTAACACAGAAAAACACCTTTTTGTTTGTTTTTTATATTTTGAAATTGAATTCCATTCTTTATATTGTTGTTGTTATGTGCCGTGGAGTCAGTTCCAACTCATAGCGACCCTGTACAGGGTTTCCGAGGCTGTAAATCTTTACAGGAGCAGAAAGCCTCATCTTTCTCCCGCGGAACAGCTGGTAGTTTCAAACTGCTGATCGTGAGATTAGCACTATGATTAGCACCAGAGCTCCTACTCCTAATTACATAAATTAGGACGAAAATGCAAAAATGTAAATGACAAAGCCCTCAATTTATCATCTATGCAGGATAAATGAAAACGTCCTCTTCCAAAATATTCTGGGAACCACAAATGAGAGATGCCCAAATATCCTTTAAATATTACATTAAAGGCATAGATTATTGATGAAGCACACAGTAGGACTACTATAAACATGAGGGGGAAAATTCCAAGATAACCTAACATGCCAATCCACTGGAAACTTATAAGATATTTTAATTAATACTGGTAGCGTAGTGGTTTCGAATCGGGCTGTGAACCACAGGTCAGCAGTTCGAAACTACCAGCTGTTCCATGGGAGAAAGATGAGGCTTTCTGCTCCCGTAAAGATTTACAGCCTCGGAAACCCTGTGCAGGGTCGCTATGAGTCAGAAACGACTCCCTGGTATATAACAACAACAATAACAACAAATACATAAAGGTATCTTAACGTTGTTGTTGTTAAGTGCTCTCCAGTCGCTTCCAACTCCTAGCAACACTATATGCACAACAGAATACAACACCGCCCTATCCTGTACCGCCTCACAATTGTTAAAGTCCACTGCTGCTGCCAATTCCTTGAGGGTCTTCCTCTCCTTCACTGGCCATCCACATTACCAAGCATCATGTCCTTTTCCAGGGAACAGTTCCATTGAATAACATGTAAAAGGTATGAGAGACGTGAAGTCTGGACACACCCTGGTTTCTAAGGACTATTCTGGTTGTACTCCTTCCAATGTAATTTGTTTGTTCTTCTGGCAGTCTATGGTACTTTATCTTCCAGCACCATAACTAAAATGCACTATTTCTTCAAAGGTCTTCCTTATTCACTGTTCAACTTTCACATGCATATGAAGTGACTGAAAATACCAGGGCTTGGGTCAGGCACAACTCAGTCCTCAAACTGATAGTTTTGCTCTTGGACACTTTAAAAAGGTCTTGTGCAGCAGGTTTGCATAATGCAAATGTCTTCTGATTTCTTGTCTTCTGCTACCATGAGTGTTGACTGTGGATCCAAGCAAAATGAAATCTTTGACAATTTCAGTATTTTCTCCTTTTAGGTATGACGCTGTAGGATCAGCACTGGACTGTGAACTACAACATGGGTAATTCAAACCTTCCAGCTGCTTCTAGGAAACCCTATACAGGGTAGCTATGAGTCAGAGCCAACTCATATCCATTAGCTAATTTCATGGTATGTATTACAAGATATGCATGGTCTAAGTCTGTGAGTGGGGATTAAACATAGGTAGTCTATAGAGAATTAATGATATGTACCTGCTTATATGCATGGGGACATGCTTTGTATGCACGATTATACATAGATAGTATATGATGGGGAGTACCATTATATGCACGAATTACATAGCGCCACAGGCGCTATGCGTTTTATGTGAACAAGGAGTAGTTTAAGTAGAATATCAGCTTTGGGTGTTGATGGTGGGGCTGTAGCCCTCTCCTTGATGTCCTAGGGAAAAGTTTTTTCCATTGGTGGTTTACAAGACCACTGTAATAGTTATACTACTGGGACTCTTCATTTTAATAGTCGGTTTTCAATTATGCTTGAGACTGGTATTAGAACAAGGATAATAGTGAAGTATAAGATTGAGGCTAATTGTCCAATGATGATAAATGGGTGTTCAACTGGTTGGCCTCCAATTCATGTGAGAGTAAAAAGGTCTGCTACTAGAATTCAGAATAAACAAGGACTAAGGCGTCGGAATATTAGGCTACGTTGATGGGACATATGTAAAAGGGGGAATGCGGCTAAAATAAGGATTGAAAATACGAGGGCTAGGACTCCTCCGAGTTTATTTGGAATGGAGCGGAGGATGGCGTATGCAAATAGGAAGTATCATTCTGGTTTAATGTGTGGTGGCGTGTTGAGTGGGTTTGCTGGGATGTAGTTATCTGGATCTCCTAGTAAACAACTACAAAAAATCACGATGTTACTTACTGCTCCAGTTGTGAGGATTTTTGTTTTCTTTACATTACAGTGCAATCCACACTGAGGGCTGTGGTCTTTGATCTTCATCACTGAGTATTTTAAGACCTCTTGGCTTCCAGCAAGCAAGGTTGTATCATCTGCATACCACAGGTTGTTAATGAGTCTTCCTCCAATCCTGATGCCACATTCTTCTTCATATAATCCAGTTTCTTGGATTACTTGCTCAGCATACAGACTGAATAAATACGTTGAAAGGATACAACCCTGGCACACACATTTCCTGATTTCAAACCATGCAGTGTCCCCTCGTTCTACTCTAACAAAATTCTACATAACAGTTTCTTCATGAGCACCATCAAGTGTTCTGGAATAACTATTCTTCACAATGTTTTCCACGCTTGTTATGGTTCCACACAGTCAAAAGCCTTTGCATAGAAAACATCTTTCTGATATTCTCCGTTTTTAGCCACTTCAATAACAACATTCCTGATGTTCACATGAATCAAAAGAAAGCCTGAATGGTTATATTGATGTAAATTTCAGAACAAAGAATACTATTAGGAATAAAGATAAATGACCGTCTTTACTCCTGGTAATTTCTTTGTTCTGACATTTCATAATTCCATAATTAAAAGGGATCATATCACTAAGAAGATACACTGAATAACAAAATACATAAAGTAAAAACTGATTGAGCGAAAAGAAAAAGCAGACAAATCCATAATTATGGTTAGATATTTTAATACCCTATTCTCTTTTTCAGGAAGTCACTGTATTTTGTTATAAAACACAAATATATATTAGTCACAGAGTACTGGTGTGGCACTGTGGGTTAAGGTACTGAACTGCAAGATCAGTTTGAAAAGCAAAGTTTGTGGTTCAAACTCCCCAGCCAATCCTAGGAAACCCTACACAGGATAGCTATGAGTCAGAACCAACTCAAAAGCACTTAACAACAACAACAACAACAACAACAGCAATATTATTCACAACTTTAATTGAACACAATGTTGTCCTGTTTCAAACAATAAAAACCAGAAACAAAACATTCAAAAAATGTTCACAGCTAACTTAACCTTCCTTAACCTCTTGGCTAGGTCCTATTGTGCTTCATTCCTATTAACAGAATAAACTGAGATAAAATCAGTAAGGATATTGAATGCTCCAACAGCACTATCAACCCAAATCATCTAATTGACATTTTCAAAACATACCACCCAACAACAACAGAACACATATTCTTAAGTGCAGATAGAACATGTGCCAATATAGTCTATATTCTGGCCCAGGAAACAATATTCAATACAGCTAAAAGAGTTTCAATCATACAAAATATGTTCGCTGACTACAGTTAAATTAAAATAGCTAAATAGCATATAAAATAAATCCCAAGTATATATAATTGTGGAGCTCTGGTGTGACGCGGTGGGTTAATGCGTCAGACTGCAAAGTCATTTGAACTGCAGGGTTGGTGGTTCAAGCTCACCAGCTGCTCCCTAGAAACCCTCTACAGGATTGCTATGGGTCAGGATC